TTTCTACCCAACTACTCTGTCTGCCTCCAGGAGAAAAGAGAAATACTGAGTACTTCCAGGTATGCGAGAGCATGTGACTCAATTATCATCTTGTCATGTGACCATGCTTATGCTTGCCAGTTGGCCCCCCAGACACCACTGTTGTCACATGAGGTCAAGGAGAGAGTCCTTATGCACTGGGCTCAAGCTAGGTTTAACCTAAAACTTAGACAGGGCTTGGTCTTATTTTTAGAGATTAATGGAGCATTGGAGGAGCAAAGAGAGGGTAATACAGGTAATAAAATATAGGATACTGCTGGAGCCAAATATATGATGTAAAAATACAGTCTGATTATATACTGCACACACAAAAACATAAAAACTAACATATAAATGCAAAGATACAAATAATTTATACATGTTTGGTTTCTTTGTAAATGATTTTAAGAACACATTTATTGGTATAATTGTAGTTCATTAAATAGGTACAGCTGTAAACATCTGGAAAACCTTTCAGTGTAAATCCTGTATATTTTGCATGCCTTTTCATTTATTCATTTCACTAACATTTACATTTTTACGTTTCAATGGATCAAAGCAAACCTATCAGTTTCTGCATGGATGGAACAGTGTCTCATAATACAACAACAGCACAATTATAAAATAAAAAAAATGCAATTAATTGCAAAAAAAAATTTAAATAGGGACTGAACCCTGGAAGCTGGAGGGTAAAGGACTAGTGGCCAGTATTGCCCACAGTCTCCCTGCAGCTGACTTCCCCATTACTGACTTGCTTTGCCTTGTTCTGCACTGTTTGAAGGAAAGACAGTCATCTTGATAGAGACAAGGCTTTTTCTTCCTCAAGTCAGAGTTTCCAGCAAGAACAACAATGAGTAGCACAGTAGTGATATCTGCAGATAGGCAGCTATGAGGCTGTATACACAGGAGTGCCTAGGTACACACACATGCCAGGAAGTGCATTGCTATTTTTAGAGTATTAGTCACAATTTTTCCTAAAAAATAGCACTTCTACTTTTTTAATTTAGGTCCACTTTAACATTAGGTGAGTAAGAATAAAAACTTCTTATTACATGATTCTGTTTTGTGCATCATTGATATCACATCATTGTATGTATGCAAGGCTGTAGAAAACTCAAAAAGATGGCTGAACTAGAACAAAATGCAAAGTGGCAGGTGTGAATTTCTAAAACATGAAATGATTGATGCAAACTATAAAAATGTTGCAACTTAAATAGCTTTCTTTTTTGCAGTTAAAAAGAGGCAAATAATACTGTAGGAAACGCTTCCATCTCAGGATCTTAGCAGAGATACGAAGTCCACATATTCTGAGATTAGTTTAACTTTTAATAAAAAATAATAAAAGCCCATTTTTTACAGGTTATTTTTGTCTGCAGCAGCCTGTAAAGTATTGCAGTGATCAGCAGATCGTCGGTGCCATGCACATCTCTTGCAGACCTGTCAGTATATCTGCTTGCCCATACAGGATGTACGAGCAAGCTGATATACTTGCAGGAAGACTGAATGAACTACCACGGCGCTCCACAGCACCAAGATGACAGCTGCTAAGGCTGTCATGACTTGTAGCCTCTAATTCACAGAGGACTACAAATGAGTGGCAGTAGCTTTTTTAACCACTTGCCAACCACAGATAGCCGAATGACAGCTTCACTGCAGCCGGCCAGTTCTGGGAGTGCGTCATATGACGTCCTTTCAGGGTACTGCTTTGGCACAATTAACATTTCTGGATGCTCGCTACAAATTATTTTAACACATGCACCAAATATGTTGCTTTTCTCTTTAGGAATTGTTTTTGATTGAATGCAATTCTGTGTTATGTTTTGAAAATAAAACAAAGCATGTGTATTTGTGTTATATATACATTTTTTAATTACGGTGGCAACATTTTTGGGTGGTCCAGAGTTAACTTATGGAAAAGCAACCTAGCTTTAAAAGAAATTTGTGAGAAAGCAACTATACAGGTTTGTTCAGCAGTAATTAAGAAGAGTAGCCACCAGAGATGAGCACAAAACAAAAACTGATGATTCTATTGTAAGCAAAGTCTTGTAGCCAGAATTTGATATTTGCTACTTTTGACTATGTTCCCAATGTCAGAACTTGTTTCATCTAATTATTGGTTTAAAAGCCAGCCACCTTGACCATATTCATTGGAACAGTTCCTAGGAAACAATATTGTTACGACATGAGTGATCAAACAATCTTCAAATCCAGAAAGAGCCAGCACAGATGTTGTCTCTGGCACAATGACAGACAGTTTTGAACTATATTCTATCCAACAAAGGCCAGAACACAGGCTGCATACCACATTTTTTATGATAAACAATGCTAATCTCTTTTTAGAGTATGACTGATAATTAGTAGGAATTTAAACAGACATTTTGCAGTAAGTCACAGTAAGCAAACTAGGTATGCAATAATTTTTTAATCAAGAAAGTACAATTATTTATTGGTGTATGTCACAGATCAGGGTACAGAGAATACAAGGAAGAGGAGGCCCAGTGATGTGCAAGATATTACCATCTGCAGTGCTTTCTCAGAAATTGACCTGCACACTTACAAATTATCATGTGAGCGTAAAGTTCCCCAATCCAGACACAGCAAGCAACTGAAAACAGCATGCACTAATATCCACTACATAAGCGTCACTATCTACAATTTGTCAGCTGACTGGTATGCTAGGCAACCATACACATTCTGTAACCACACACGGATCCCTTCCACTGGCTAAGAGATCTCCCTTCTTATGGCAGATTATATAGCTTCCACACACTGGCAGTAATCTGCATGCAATCAAATTAACCCTCCAATTCTCTGTCAGCCAAACTTTGCAACTACTGGGAACATGAGGGCACAAGCACGCAATTCAGTCTCACACAGATTAGCAGCAACCAAGTATGTAGGCACTTGTAAAACAATAGGTAACACAACAGTCTCTCTACAATTTCTGAATTATTTGCTTAGTACACAGAAGACCTATTTATTAATTTTATATTATTAATTTATTATAAATATTCCAAAAATGCAGAACAGTGCGCATGAATATAAACAGAAGTACTAAGTACAAAGAAAAAGAAAATGACCTACAGGATTACAGACTATTTGCTACAAAATAAAATGGCAGAAAAACTTCCCTGGGAGTAAACTTTACAGTTTAGCAGTGTCAGCTTGTCCTCTTGGTGGGAACACATTGGGAAAACCATTAGTCATCTTGTTTAAAACAAGTTCCAGATTATATGCTTTGTTCAGTTCTATGCCACTTATGGGGAGAAAGGTTTGGGGTGAACCCTTCTCTGCTGACCAATTAGCTTTCGGAAGGGTGCCCTACCTGTTTTGAGAAACATTCTTGCCTCTGAAGTGGCCATAGCTTATATGGACAAGCTGGTTCTAATGGCTGGGTCACAAGTAGGATTTCAAACATCACCTCATCATCCAGATTGCAGCATGTCCAAACACATGACTGCTGTGGATAGGATCCAAAAAACAAGTGGTCAGGACATTTCATTTGGTATCTGCATGCATCTCCCCACATCAAATATTTTGGATCTTATGAGCAATGAAACCTATTCCCTCAGATCCTTGAAAAATATTAAATGGTTCCAGAAGCTTTGGTGCCCAGCAGTCACAGAGTTTGAGAGGATTCTTTTAAAAGTGTGTCCTAAATGAGTTGATTGATTACAATTATTTGTAAAGGTCTGTCTGAATTATGAACATATTATCCTACCTTTCTACACCCAATGTTAATCTACAGTCATACAAGGCTGTATGTGTTTTTTTTTTTTAAATGGCATCTTTTCTTTTCTTTTTTCTGGGCTGCATTTTTTTCACAACCTGTCCTTGAGTTCACATACATTTCACTGTCAAGTGGCTGCATGTGTATTTTCACAGGGAATACTTGTTGCTGATTGCAATATTTTTGTTAAATGATTATGAGATTTTAGTGGTTGAGTTTACATTCACATTAAAAAAAAAAAAACTATGATTGAGTTCTTTAAATTGCAGTGTTGGGAGCATTTTCTTATGTGCTCTGTTTGTGTGCAAAGATCTATCCATCCAACAATTAATTTTATCTGTTTACAACAGCTGGTAGATAGCTCTTCATTTTTTTATTAAATGGGATCTTATACCCTTATTCATATTTTTAGATACTAACTTTAAATTTGGATCCATTAGGATGCTTCAGGCAGTTGTTGCTGACAGTCCACCCAAGGGCATAAAATTAGGCATATACTAGCTAGGTCTATTGTCCCTGATTAAAACTATTGCTGCTGGCCAATTTTACACTGCTGTATCCTCTGCAGTACTGTCATAAAACCATCAATATCACTTAACATAACAAGATATACATGTATTTAACTATTTATAAAGATTTTACAAAATAGTGAGTTATTCAGTACATAGTGAGCTACATAAGCAAATAAAAATATTTTTGTTCTTTTCTTTTCCCCAACAACAAAGGAAAGTTAACTACAAGAATTTGATTAAGCAAAGTCAGCTGGTGCATTCTCATCATATTCTTCATCTTTGTTAGGCAAAAGAGTAATATCTGCTTTGGCCAACAGAATATATTACATGAGTTTTGATTTGAGAGGCATCCATGAAAGTTTCACACGAACAGCCTTACAAATAAAAGAAAATACTATTTTAAATGTTAAAAAGGATGTAAAAATTAAAATAATAACATGTAAAATACTTTTTATAATAAAAGCACAATTACAACATTTACAACATCCAGTTTAGGACAGCTGGATAACATCATAAGATGCAGGTCAATTTCTAGGTTGGGATGAAGGCAGTGGTCAGTTCTTAACTAATGTTATTGAGCCTTGTATATTAACATGTTCCTAATCAGAACTAAATTAACTTTAACCGCTTCCCCTCCAACTTATAGCAGAAGTACTGCTACAGGGCAGCAGGGCTGTGCAAAATCACTTATATGTGCACTGCCCTATCCGCTCCGCCATTGGCAGCTACAGCTGCAAATCACTGGGTCCTGGACTGAGATTCCCCGCCGGCACCCGGCGATCATGAGTAACACTGACAGGGGAGAGACCTCTCTGCAAACAACACATGTCTCTCTCCTGCCAGCAATAACATACTGCTGTGTATTCCTCTGCACAGCAAAGAAATACACAGCATCATGTTTACCTAGTAAAACACACACAGCACATGCAGTAAAACAGCACACAGTTAACCCTTTGATCACCCCAGATGTTAACCCCTTCCTGCCCAGTGTCATTAGTACAGTGTCAGTGCTTTTTATTAGCACTGATCACTGTATTAGTGTCTTTGGGATGTCAGTGGCAGTTAGTCAGTTCCCACCAAGTGTCAGAATGCCTGCCGCAGTCCCACTATAAATTGCTGATTACCGCCATTACTAAAAACAAAATTTAAATTCCAGTATATATACTACCATTTGTAGACACTATAACTTTCAGGTAAACCAATTAATTTACATGTATTGGGGGGGGGTTTTCACCAAAGACATGTAGCAGAATACATTTTGACCTACATTTATGACGAGATTTGATTTTTTAAATTCTTTTGCTAGATATGTTTTATAGCAAAAAGTCAAAAATGTGTTTTTTTCAAAATTGTCAGTCTTATTTTGTTTTTATAACACAAAAAATAGAAACTGCACAGGTGATCAAATACCACCGAAATAAAGCTCAATTTGTGGGAAAAAAGGACATAAATTTGTATTTATGTACAGCGTTGCATGACCGTGCAATTGTCAGTTAAAGTAATGCAGTGCCATATCGCAAAAAAGTGAATAAAAAATAATGAACAAATGTGATACCAGCTGCCGTGCTTAAATTTCACGACAAATATCAAAACTATGAAGATGAAAAGATTGCTCCCTCATTTAGTACAACACTGTACTCCAGTGAATACAGTATATCTAACAAATATAAGCATTGTATGAAATAGAATGAAAAATAAATCAATATTTAGATCCAAAAGCAGGTGAATAATGAATAAATAAAATGATAGTGTACAAACACACTCCCAAATCAGTTCAATAGTTAGCGAGTGATAATAAAAAAAAATACACATAACTATTCATGGTATACTTATATTTGTTATGTATATTCACTGGATTACAGCACTGTACTATATGAGGGATCAATCTTTTGTACTTCATAAATTTGATTTTCATCAGCATATATTATTACTGTTTGGTGTATATTCCCATGTATATACTCATCTAATCTGCATATGTTTTCTACTATTTTTATACCATAATGGTAAAAAGGAAGATCAGTTGATGATTCCCTTTTTATTGTTGCATATCTGAACACATTTGTATGCTTATTTGTCTTCTGATTTGACCTTGCTCCACCTACATCTCTCTAAAAGGAATGTTTAGCAATGCAAAAGAGGAATGTGTACAGCAAAGTAATCTACAAAAACCAATAAGCAAGGATCTTTCATTTTTCTTACTATTCAAAGCTAAATAGCTGGAAAATATGATGGATGTCTTATTTAAAAAGTCTATAAATAATTTATTTTTATTGCTGCATTATTTGAACATGGTGCCTAGCATTTAGGCTGCTGGCTGTAGAGTCAGATGTTTTACTAACGTCACATTTTCTTTTCTCATAATACACCAATTACACCAGGGTAGCATAACAGGTCAGATAGCTGTAATTGATGGAGAGATAAAGATTCCAGATTAAAGAGGAGATATGTTGACACATGCCCTTCTATGCCAAGTGACAACTAAAGTACAAATTGCTTCAACTCATTAGCAGATGAAGAGAAAATGAATGCCTTTTATGATGAACATGTAAAAGTTTTTAAGGTAAACTATAAACCATTAGAATGTCCAAATTACATTTTGTTGGAGTAGTCTACGCAGACAATTATAATGGATGTAATCATGTTTAATATTATTATTATACAGTATTTATAAAGCGCCAACAGTTCGCTCAGCGCTGTACATTACAATGGGAGACAATACATGAGACAGTACAATAATAATACAATGCGATACAGGAGGGGTTCGAGGGCCCTGCTCCTTGGAGCTTACAATCTAGGAGGGAGGGGATAGTGGTACCGGAGGAAAAGCTGTGGGGGATGGAGTGGTTGGAAGAGTGGAGGAGATCGGCAATTAGCAGGGGGTGGGGTAGGCTTCCCTGAAGAGGTGGGTTTTCAGGCGCCTAAAGGAGAGGAGAGTAGGTAATAGTCTGATGGATTGGGGTAAGGAGTTCCAGAGAATGGGTGATGCCCTGGAGAAGTCCTGGAGGCGGGCATGGGAGGAGGAGACCAGGGAACTAGAGAGAAGGAGGTCTTGTGAGGAGCGGAGAGTGCGTTTTGGGTGGTATTTGGATATTAGGTTGGCGATGTAGTTTGGGGCAGTATTATGGACAGCTTTGTACATCAGTGTTAGCATTTTGAATTTGATCCGTTGGGCAATCGGAAGCCAGTGGAGGGATTGGCAGAGGGGGTGGCGGAAACGGATCGGTTGGTAAGGTGGATGAGTCTGGCTGCCGTATTCAGGATCGACTGAAGTGGGGATAGCCTGTGGTGAGGCAGGCCAGTGAGGAGGGAGCTGCAGTAATCGAGTCGTGATATGATGAGGGAGTGGATGAGCTGCTTAGTGGTTTCTGGGGTTAGGAATGGGCGTATTTTGGCGATGTTGCGGAGGTGGAGTCTGCATGAGTTTGTTAGCGATTGGACTTGGGGCTGGAAGGATAGATTGGAGTCAAGAATGACACCAAGTAGTCTGGCTTGCGGGGTGGGCCTGATGGTGGCATTGTTGGACGTGATGGAAAAGGGGGTGCGCGGGCTGGGGGGAAAACTAGGAGCTCGGTTTTGGAGAGGTTCAGTTTAAGGAAGTTGAGCGACATCCAATCTGATATGTCGTTCAGTAGGCTTGTGATTCGGGCGTAGACTGAGGGAGTGAGGTGAGGGGTCGAGAGATATATTTGCGTGTCGTCAGCATAGAGGTGGTAGTTGAAGCCATGAGAGTGTATCAGTTGGCCAAGGGATGAGGTGTAGATGGAGAAGAGAAGGGGCCCATGGACAGAGCCTTGTGGGACCCCAACAGAGAGGGGGAGTGAGGGGGAGGTGGTAGTGTTATAGATAATGCTGAAGGAGCGTTGTGATAGGTAGGACGAGAGCTAGGAGAGAGCGGAGTCTCTGAGGCCAAGGGAGTGTAGTTTTTTGAGGAGGAGGGGGTGGTCAACTGTGTCAAAAGCCACAGAGAGGTTGAGGAGTAGGAGCACTGAATAGTGGCCATTAGCTTTGGCGGTTAGCAGATCGTTGGAGAGTTTGAGTAAGGCAGTTTCGGTAGAGTGTAGAGGACGGAAGCCGGACTGTAGGGGGTCGAGGAGGTTGTTGTCGTTGAGGTGGGAGCTTAGGCGATTGTAAACTAAGCACTCACGGAGTTTGGATGTGAATGGCAGCAGGGAGATGGGTCTAAGGTTGTTCGGGTCAGTAGGGTCCAGGGAGGGCTTTTTAAGTATGGGAGTGATGTGCGCGTGCTTCAGAGGGGAGAGGAATGCGCCAAAAGAGATAAACACTTTTTAATATTCAGCATTTATTCTTAAATGCAGTAACCAATAAAAATCTTTATACTTGTATGACTTCATCTGTGTAAATTATAATTGGATGCTAAAGTTCACAGCACTTAAAGCAGAAATACATCCTTAAGTTTGGTCTTTAACAGTTTCAAAGGCCTTTCCCCTGTAACGAAATAGCTTCCTCTGATTTTACTACACACTGTGAGCTTCTCGCAGTATGCACTAGAAGCTGCAGCAATTCATTATATGGATAAAATGCAAAAGTGCCACATCCCTACTTTTTTATGTACTCATAAACCAAAAAAGAAACAAAGGGGGGAAAGAAAACCACCCCTCAAAAATTTGGAGACTTTTGAGACACATCTATATAAAATCACTATTTATTTCATATCAATATACAGTACATACATTAAAACATTTGTATTAATGTCCAACAACACTGTATTCTTATAAAAGTTAAAAACTTGCAATCTGATAGAATATCATATTGCTTCACAGATCCAGTTCCTTAGGCTCAACGCGTTTCATGGACTTAAACCACTTTCTCAGGAGCCATCACAATATATATTATTAAATAATGATCTAGACAAAACACATAATCATTAATTGCAATTCTTCATCTCAGTGTATTATAATAGAATAGCATATCAGAGACAGACTATGGATAGGGTAGAAAAGCCCAAGAGACCAGAACTCCTCCCAGGGAAACTACCAACTCTCCTTTCCCAACCATATCCAAATATACTGGAAACATACCTTCTTAACCACTTCCAAACCGGACACTTTTACCCCCTTCCTGACCAGGGCAATTTTCAGCTTTCAGCGCTATCACACTTTGAATGACAATTGCGCGGTCATGCAACACTGTACCCAATTGAATTTTTACCATTTTTTTGAGACAGATAAAGCTTTATTTTGGTGGTATTTATTCACCGCGGGGATTTTTATTTTTTTTTTTGCTATGTAAATGAAAATGTCAAAAAAATTTGAAAAAAAAGTGTTTGTTTTTTTTTAAATTTTGCAAATAAATAATAGTTCATCATAAATCTTTGCCAAAATTTATTCCGTTATCTTTTTAGTAAAAAAAAAAAAATCCAAATTAGTATATAACCAAAAATTATCATTTTTAAACATTTTTTTTTACATTTCTATTTTATTTTTTTATATATATATATATTTTTTTTTTACATACTGTCACCCTAGCAGTACAGTATCACCATGGTGACACTGTACTACTTGTGGGGGGTGATGAAGATTTTTTTTTTTTTTTTTTTACACTGATTGCTTTTACACCCATATAGGATGTAAAAGCAATCATTTCTCTTTCTCTCTGTGTGCATTCTTGCACTCATTGAGAAGTACTGAGTGAGCTGTGATTGGTCACAGCTTGTCACATGGTACAAGGCTGTTGTGAATAGCCCTTGTACCATGTGACCTCTGTGATCATTCACAGATTTCACACGTAGTAAGCAATGATGTTACAAGTGACATCTTGCTTACTACTTTGCATGTGATCACTGATTGGCCAATCACTGATCACATGATCGGGACCTCGTACAGAGGTCCCGTCCTACGATCGGTGTTTCACTGTGTCCGGAGGACACAGCGGGCACCGGATCGCGGTGCTGCGCGCTCCCAGGGAGCGCGCACAAGCAGGGTGCGGGGGGAGGCCGTTTATAAACGGCCACCCGACCCTGCAGTGCCACCGTCCGGCCGTTTTATATGCAACGGCCCGGTCGGGAAGGGAAGTGGTTAAAACAAGCAAGCTCCCACATCTCCAAGGAAAGTAAATGTACTCCATATAGTTCCAGCCTGATAAGAATCAGCTC